CATATAGCACTAAGTACAAAACTCTGAAAAATGATTGCATTTGAAGGATAAAAAGAGAAAGTTATGTAGAAAGGAGACAAAGAGCAGCAGAAAAATATTCAGAACAGCACACTGTCGGATGAACCAAGAAGTGCGACTTAAGAAAGATGAAACAGTCTATAATAATGATAATAATCGTGATAATAAAAATATAGCTACAAACAATGTTTACCAGTGAGGAGCCAAGTACTTTGCACGCATCACCTCACTGAATTGTCACAGCACCTTCTGAGTCATTTTCCCCATATTTACAGATGAAATCAAGCCGTAAAGAGGTTAGTAAATGACTAACAACAGTTCCCACCGAGAGGGAATAGCAGAGCCTGTACTTAAATCCAGGTCATCTGACTTGAGAGCCCAAGTTCCTGACCACTACACATATGGACGGCCTCCTTTCACCAAAAGACGAAGAGGGAGAAAAGGCCTCTGACTCGGTGACCAGGTCCATTGAGAGCCATCTCGGCAGACAGATTGGGACAGAGGGCACATTCTGAAAGGTTGCAAAGTGAGTGGGTAGCAAAGAAGTCATGAAAGCAAGTATAAAAATCTGCACATGAAAGGAAGGAAAGAGAGTGTGCTAAGTAAATAGGTCTAGGCAATAAAATTGTTTTGTTTTTTCTTTTAAGGGTGAGAAGGCTTAGCATAGGTTATCAATTCTGGGCCTGTCTTTGTAAATAAAGTTTTATTGGAACAGCCACACTCATTCATGAAGATATTGTCTATGGCTGCTTTTGCTCTACAATAGCACAGCTGAGTAGTTGCAACAGAGACCATACAGGCTGTAAAGCCTATTTACTGTTTGTTTTTCTACAGAAGAAGTTTGCTAACTCTTGATTAAGAGGGTTTATAAGATGGAAAAGAAGCGATCAAAAGCAGAGGTGGAATGTTGAGTCATGTGAAGGTCAGAGGTGGAGTGTTGTCATGTGAAGGTCTTTCCTAAACAAAGACCAGAGACAAAAACAAATATGTGAACAATTATGAGACGTCAATGTTTCACTGAAACATATTTTAATCCCTCAGTGTCACCCGGGAATGATGACTGGCTATGCAGTTGGCAGAAGTAGTCACAGAGGGTCTATTCTTTCTGTGTTCCTATTTCTGGAAACTTCAATAAGAAGTTTCAATAAGAAGGAGATAAATCTCTCCTAAGGTGACTGAAACAATTAAAGTCTGAAAACTGCTAATCATCATGTCCTAAGAAATCCCTAAAGCAAAAAGGTGGCAGTACACCTACTACATAATGACTCAAATAATTCAGAATGATTTATTCACCCATGCAGAATGAAACATCTGTATATGCCTCCTGAGTATAATTTCCTCTTGATTGAGAAGACGAAACCTACTTTTAAGAATTAGCATTAAAGGTTGTGGCAGTAATTTTTTTGGATGAGCAAAACCCCTGTAAATGAGTAAAAAAGTTTAAAGGATATTGTACTGAGAAAAGCCTGCATTATGGTAGCTCATAAAGGAACCCAAGGCAAAGGTTCAATGTAAGATTTTAGCACTCTCACTGCTTTTAATGTGAAACACTAAAACCAGGAAATAACAGTAAACCATAAAGTACTAAAGGCTAATATTGGTCTGCTGCAGGAAAAAAATTTAGATTTTTTAAGGCACTGGTAAGGTCAAAATAATGTTTTCCTTCTCAAAACTCCCTGTTACTTCACTAATATTCATAATTACTGTTTATCTTTTTCTCAACACATATCACTTTACTTTTTCTTATATAAATAATACATGCTTACTGTAAAGCATTCAAACAATACTGTGAAGTATAAGAGAATAAAAATCACCTAATCACAGCACCTGAGAGAACCATCATTAACATTTTGGTGAACACTCTTTCACAAATCTCTATGTATATCTACGCAGTCATCCATATAATTTTACCTACTTAAATATTACACACAACTCATTTATTATGGACATCGTTCCTTCATTCTCTAAGAAAAAGGAACAACAAAAAATTAAAATGACACTCCATCCCAAAGCAGTAAAATACATATTCTTTCCAAGAGCACATGGAACGTGCTCCAGGATAGACCACATGCTGGGCCACAAAACAATTCTCAATATATTTAAGAAGATTGAAATCATACCAAGCATCTTTTCTGATCAGTATAAGACTAGAAATCAACTACAAGAAAAAAAGTGCAAAACCACAAACATGTGGAGGCTAAACAATATGCAACTAAACAACCAATGGATCACTGAAGAAGTCAAAGAGGAAATCAAAAAACACCTGTACACAAATGAAAACGGAAACACAATGATCCAAAATCTATGGGACGCAGCAAAAGCAGTTCTAAGAGGGATGTTTATAGCAATACAAGCCTATCCTGGGAAATAAGAACAATCTCAAATAAATAACGTAACTCTGCACCTAAAGGAACTCAAAAAAGGAGAACAAACAAAACCAAAGTTAGTAGAAGGAAAGAAATCCTAAAGATCAGAGTGGAAATAAAAGAAATAGAGACTAAAAAAAAAAAAAAGAAAGAAAAGATTAATGAAGCTAAGAGCTGGCTCTTTGAAAATATCAACAAAACTGATAAACCTTTAGCCAGACTAATCAAGAAAAAAGAGAGAGAGGGCTCAAATAAATAAATCAGAAATGAAAGAGAAGTTACAAGTGACATTACAGAAATACAAACAATAAGAGATTACTACAAATATACACCAATAAAATGAACAATCTAGAATAAATTCCTAGAAACATACAATCTCCCATGACTGAATCAGTAAGAAATAAAAAATATGAACAGATGAATTAGCAGTAATGAAATGAAATCAGTAATAAAAAAAAAAAACTCCCAACAAACAGAAGTCCAGGACCAGATGGCTTCACAGGTGAATTCTACCAAATACTGAGAGAAAACTTAACACTTATCCTTCTCAAAGTATACCAAAAAACTGAAGAGGAAGAAACACTTCCAAAGTCATTCTATGAGATGAGTGTTACCCTGATACCAAAACCAAAGACACCACAAAAAATTAAAATGACATCTGCCCAAGGTAAGAAAATAGAACAAACCATACAAAATGGTCTCAAATGACAAAACTTTCCCTACCAGTCAGTTCCTCTCAATCTGCTGAAATAAACATTTTTGAAAACCCTCTGTTTTAATTCTTTTGGTGGCTTCCATTTTAACTTTAAATAGTAGATTTACATCTGTATTTTTTATTTATGAATTATAGAATATAGATTATTCCATGAAAAAGTAAAAATTTAGTATACTTATACTACCACTCACCTTTCTCCCTCTTCAACTCCTAATTTTAATTAGTTTCATTACTTTTACATTAAAATTTCCAAAATGTAAATTTTTTAGTGTAGCAATAATTGGGTGTTCCCTTCCTGTCTAAGTTGATATTAAAATTTTAAGTCCACTAAAATGCAGGTATAGAATTATGATTATGGGATTCACAGAGAAAGAAATGTAATCCTGTATCTTTTAATTCTGCAGCTCAAAGCAGATTTTCCCAAAGTGGCAACTTTTTAAAGCTTTCTTTCAGCTCTTACAACTTCTATGATTTCGTTTCTGGTTCAGTTTCTTATTTATACCTCGTATTGTATACTTTCTTGTTTTTCTTTGTTACGCTGGAGAATTTCCTCAAAAAGCCTTTTTTCATATGGAATACTGGGGGTAAAATTTCTGGGTCCATGTCTGAGTACAGTTTTAGTCTGCCCTTGCATCTGTTTGATAAAATGACTAGATATAGAATTCTTGGTCCAAAACAAATCCCCCTCTGAACCTCATTTGTTTCTAGTAATTGAGATTGATGCTAAGAATTGGTTCCAGTTCCCTTGTAAGATAGCCTGTTTATTCTGTCTGGAACTCTTTAAGATGTTTTTTCTTTATTTTCGGTGTTCTGATGAGGTGTGGGCCTTTACCCATTCATCCATATCAATTTCAGTGGGTCAACCCCAATATTCATATGAAATGCTTTTCTATTATTTTCTCTTTTTTAACTTTTTCTGTTACGTCTCTTTTTAAATTTCGAGGTTCCTATGAGAAGGCTATTGGTCACTTTTAATCTCTTCATGACTCTGACTTACTTTTCTCTCATATATTTTATCTGTCTTTTTACTGCATGTTTTAAGATTTTCTCTTGTTTTCTACCAGAGAAACAGCTTAATTTGTGCCCTATTGGTTAATTTAATTCTATATTACAGTTTTCATATTTTCAACTGTTAAGCATTGTTTCTTATTCTCTGATTATTCTTTTTCATAGCAGCTCATTCCTATTTTATGGATATAATATTGTCTCAATTCCTTCTGAACTTATTACAATATTTTTTTAAAGTTCTCTGCTGTACTCTGAATTATCTGAGCTCAGTTCTTTGGTTTATCTTCTTCTTTCTTTGACATCCTATAGGTTTTCCTCAAATATCTTATGATCCTTGGTTTTGGTTAATATTTTTGGAGGAAAACATTCCATACTTTTTTTAATTCTAAAGTTGGGTAGAGAGAAGAGGAATGAAGTAAAAAACAGTTTAGTTTCTCTTCAGCACTTGTGTTAATTAACATTCAACAAATTCTTAATTATTCAGAAGAATAATTCTTAACAAATTCTTAATTATTCAGAAGAATCTGGGAATTTGTTTCCTACTCATAGAAGTGAGAGGGAGTAGAAGAAAAAGAATAGGATGTCTCCAAAGTAGCAAATTTGATTACCCTCAGACTTTTATCATCTGTAATCCAGGGTTCCTAATAGTTGTATATAAATCTAAGATACACCTTACTGACAATCTTAAAAGGCAGAAATCAACAATGAAAAATGCATATTTAGCATTCCTAAACTCTACTTAACATTTGTTGTCATTTTCAGAAACACATTCTTACTGCCCCATTGGGAATGATTCAAACGATAAAAATCCTTGGTCCCTGGCTCTTTAAAGGGTCAGTTCAGCATGTGGAAGAGGAGGAACTGTCACTGGGAGAAGACTGGCACCTTCTTACCTGCTGCGTGGTGCTGGTGACGATGCCCTGCTGTAGGCGGTAGGCCTGCTCTTGAAGGTATTTTCTAGTCTCGTGATTCCGGAGCAGATAGTTTTCTATCTGGAAATTAAGCACATGTCTCTCTCAAGAACACATTTCGACTCAGCAGAGAGTAAAGTCATAAGTGCAACAGCCAGTTGCTAAACTGAAGACCCAAGCAACTAATTCACACATCCTGCCAGGGCCTTGACCCCACAAAACGTATGAGATGGGGAAACTGGCTATTGTCGTGACGCATTATGGGTGTTTTTAGTTAGAAATTTCACTCCCAGGTAACCAGGGTAATTTTTATGTGACTCAGTAGTTGACAAAGATGAGCAAGTGTTTAATTGCCTGCAGGGTTAGAGACCCCTTTTAGTGACTTCTCATCACTTTTCCTGCACACGATCGCAATCTTTCTCTCTCACAAATTTTTAACCACTAAACAGTTCAGAAGCTAAATAAATACCCCTACAGTGTATGGATGGTCCTTTCTGAACCCCTTGGCCTTATCCACCAGCACTCAGAAAATTCTTTATTTTAAGGGAAAAAAGGAGAAAATAGGTACAAAATTGGAAGGTTACAGGCTGGTACAACTCAAAACCATATACCAATTTCCTTAATCCACCAGGTTTACATGTTTTCTCAAAAACAGGAATGCTTTTAGCAAAATTACCAAAAATAAGAAAATGGATTTCTACAGAAAATGAGAAATCTTGAAGTTGCTTGACAATCTATATTTTTATACATAGACAATGTTTTATGAAAAATTCAAACATACAAATGATAACTAGATTGAAATAAAGTACTGAAGAATAACAATATACAATGGATATATATAATACACTGAAAAATGTAAACTACTGATTATAATGAATACCTATTAATGTGTTTTTTTAAAGAATGATTGAGATGATTAAGTATGCCATCTATTTTTTTTCAGTTGTTGTTTTTATTTGTTTTCATAATGCAACTTAACCATTTGGCTTCTAATTTGTCACTACAGTTCCCTGGTTAAGAATTTCTAGTAACTGTGAGGCTTTCAGGATTATTACATTTTCATTTTCATTTTGCATATGCTAAAATGACTACTACTTAATGCCAATTAGGAATAATTAAAATATAGGCTATAATTATTATCATCCTTGGAAACCATAAAGCAGAACAAAATGTACCATTCTACTAAACATAAATGAAGGTATTATAAAAAAAGATCCCTGAAATGAAGCATCATTAAAGTGACACATTAATACCATGACATTATATTACATTAATTTTCTCTTGCTGCTTCCCAAGAAGTCATCTCTTTCCAAGGTGACATTACCATCAAGGTAGAATGTCTTTGCTAAAAAAAGATTCTGCCTAAAATATGACAGGCACACACTGCCACCCAGCTTTGGGTGATTTTGTTTTATTCTTCTACATTTGGCCTCATTAAGCCATGGCCATGGGCCAGTTCTGAGAGCAGCTTGTTTATTCAGGAGGCTCAGCTCACACACAGGCAGTGCACCCAAAGCTGGCCCATGCGCTTCCAGGCCTTCCCCAGGTGCACCAACAGTGCTTCACAGACTGAGCCTGGAGGGAATATTTTAGAAAAATAAAATAAAATTCATTGCTCATTTCTAAAAGCTAGTGCAAGGGGAAGGAAGAAAAATAATGCTTAAGTGTCTTTAATAACGGCGAATGTTATTTGTTGAAAGTATTTGCATCTGGAAAGTTTACAAGGTAAACTTTCCTTCTGTGCACCATTAGAGACCAAGACAGAGAACCAGGACAGGACAGGGGCCTGACTCAGGTCAAAAGGAAAGAGGAAGAGCCAAAAGTGTCATTTATCACATTTGCCAGTACCCCTGGGCAGCAGTGACCTGGGAGACAGTCTACAGTCAGTCAGACATCTTCAGTCTCATTGCTGAAAATAGCAGCAGCACAGAAGGCAAAAAAATTGTTTTAATAAAAGAAACTTATATTAAAAAAAAATAAAGACTGAGTATAGAATCACAATATTGTTTTTCAGTAGAGTAAAATTAAAGAGCCATAATTCTTCCAGAGGACAGTTCCGTTAAAATGAAAACTTGAATATATAAGAGCATAGTTAAATACTATAGGGGAAAAAAACAATAAACATGAGCTTTAAAGTCACCAATTTTCATTTAAAAAAGACACAACTTTTATAATTAATATATTTGCATACTCTGCATTTGCTCTTTGTTTCTTCTTTTAACCTCCCCTCTTTTTCTGCCTTCTCTGGTTTTAAGTATTGTATATGATTGAACTTTTCTCTCCTTTCTTAGAATATTAAGTATACTTCTTTATAAATATTTTAGTGGTTTCCCTAGTGTCTGCAATATACATTTACAATTCATCCAACTCCTCTTTCAAATAACACTGCAGTTGTCCCTTGAACAAACAGGTTTGAACTGCACAGGTCTGCTTATAAGTGGATATTTTTCAGTAGTAAATACTACAGCATACATGGTCCATGGTTGGTTGAATCCATGGATGAAGACAAGAAGGGCCAACTGTAAGGTATACTCAGATTAAGCCCCGTGCTGTCCATGGGTCAACTGTATACCGTTTCACAAATAGTGCAGGTACATTATAAGGGAGTATCACCAATTTCTCCCTTTCACCCCTTGTAACACTGCTGTCTTAGAAAGTATTTCTTCTTTATTTTTGAAGGAAAATATTGCTAGATACAGAATTCTAGGCTGCTGGGGTTTTGGGGTTTTTGTTCAACACTTTAAATAAATATTTCACTCTACTTCTTGCTTGCATGCTTTGTGACTCAAAGTCTGATGTAATTCCTACCCTTATTTCTCAATATGTAAGGTATATTTTTCCTCTGGCTTCCTTCAAGATTTTCTCTTTGTCTTTGGTTTTCTGCAGTTTGAACATGATATGCCTACACATCATTTTTTTTTGCGGGGGAGGCAGTATTTATCCTGCTTGGTGTTCTCTGAGATCCCTGGATCTGTGGTTTGGTGTCTGTCATTAATTTTGGAAAATTGTCAGTCATTATTACTTCAGACATTTCTTCTGTTCTTTTCTCTTTCTTCTCCTTCTGGTATTCCCATTACCAGGATGTTCAATGTTTTGTAATTGTCCCATAGTTCTGGGATCTCCTGTTCTTTTTCCCCCCTATTCTTTTTCTCCTCTTTGCATTTCAGTCCGGGAAGTTTCTGCTGACATATCTTCAAGGTCAATGATTCTTTCCTCAGCTGTGTCCAGTCTACTGATGAGCTCATAAAAGGCATTTTTTTTGCTCGTTACAGCATTTCTGATCTCTAGCATTTCCTTTTGATTTTTTTCTTAGAGTTCCTGTCTCTCTGTTTTTATTACCTATCTGTTCTTGCATTTTTTTTTTTACTTTTTCCATTAGAGCCCTTAACATATTTGATCACAGTTATTTTAAATTACCTGTCTGATAATTCTAAAATCTGTGTCATATCTGAGTCCAGTTCTGATGTTTGTCTCTTCATACTGTGTTTTTTCTTGTCTTTTAGCTTGCCTTGTAATTTTTTGTTGAAAGCCAGATATGATGTAGCTAGTAATAGGAACTGAGGTAATCATTCTTTTAATGTGAGGCTTTTATGTTCATCTGGCTAGAAGCTGAGTTGTGTTGAATGTCTGCTGTAACTGTATATGCCAGTTAATTTCTTCTATTGACCTTGTTTATGTCTCCCCTGCTGTTTTGGGTTTCCCTAGAAATGCCTCCTTAAATAAAGTGCCTTAGAGCTTTGCTTAGTTGTAATTCAGTGTTATTATAATTGATTTGTGATGGAAGTATAATACGGAGGGGAAGCATTCTATAATCATATGATTAAATTTAGGCTTTTTTTTTTTTAAACCAGGCCTGAGTCCCTGGACTGTGGCCTTCAGAAGTGTTTCTTGGCCTTTTTTTTTCCCCTCCCTTATGTGAAACAGGAAGGCTGGAAGGGGCTGCAGCGGTCTAACTGTCTTCTACTAGGTCAGATAAGGCTCTGGTAGAATAGTTTCTCTTGAGGGTAGGCCTTTGTTATGGAGAACAGCATGCTCTGAGTGTATTTCAAAATGGTTACTTTTTCCCTTCCACCTGCCAGAAACAGCAGTGAATTATCCTCCTCCAATCTTCACTGTGGTAACTTGGGTTCTTGTAACTAAAACCCATGCAAAGGTCAGGGCCTCCCTAAGACTAAGCACCTAGGAGTGTTTAGCTGCTTTTTTTTTTTTTTTTAAAAGCTCTTAAACTAGTCCACACTAAGCCTCCAGCAATTCATCAATTACTGTTTAAGCATTCCTCTGAGTTACCAGCTCCATTAGCTTCTGCCCCGGTAAGCTTTGATTCTCTGTGATTCTCTGTATTACCATCTCTCCCGTTTCCAGGGTGACAGTTTGCCTTGTAACCTCAATTCTCTGGCAGACCTAAGAAAAGTCACTGATTTTCTGTTTGTTAAGCTTTTTTTTTTCTTGTTGTGAGGATGGGAATGATGACTTCCAAACTCTTTACATGTCTAATCTGAAACCAGAAACCTTGTTTCTGTAGAATATGTCTTTTGTTATAAGCTGACTAATATCCTTCAGGAAAGTATAAAGATATCGAACATTTGTATATCGCTTTACCGTCTACAAACTGCTTTTCACATATACCACCTCATTTGATCCTCATGGACACCTTTGGTAAATTACTTAAGCACTCTGCCCTTCAGTTTTCTTATCTGTAAAATGAGCATATAATAGAACCTACCTCATGGGTTTATTTTAAAGATGACAGATGTTAATTTATGTAAATCATTTAAAATAGTGTCAGGCACCCAGTATAAACTATATGCTAAGTGTCAGCTAAATACAGTTATTGTGTAGCTTTATTTTTTATGTAGATGGAGAAACTAAAGTTCAGAAAAATTAAATACATACTGAACTTACAATGCTGGGAAGAGTCTGATTTAGTCAGATCTTCTGAATCCAAACCTTAGATGGTTTCTTTTGCTACACCACAGCTTCCTCTCCCCTCCACTCCCAACCTTACTCCCTTTAACTCACTGAATGTCTAAAGAACATCCAAGCATGCATGCCAGGTACCGCACTAGCTTCTGAGAATAAAACAAGATGAAAAATATAGGCTCTGCCTTCAAAGAGCTCACAGTCGCTGGGAGAAAAAAAAAAAAAAAATAGAGGCAGGTAACTTAAAACAATGTCACAAGGCCAGTGACAGAGAGAACCACAGGAAATTGTGAGAAGACCACCTACCTAGCAGGGAAAAGGGACTCCAAGAAGTCTTCCTGGATGAACTGACCCTTGATTTCAATCTCAACAGATATGCACAGTAGTGGGGAAAGCACGAGTATCATCTAGATTCGAGCAGTGATTCTCAAAAGTTACAATCATCAGGACAACTCAGAAAAACACAGATGGCTAAGTCCCACCCCAGTTTCTGAGGCCAAAGAATTTGCATTTCTAACAAGTTCCCTGAGGTAGAGCAAAACAAAGACTAAGGGTTGGTAAGAGATGAAATTGGCGGTGAATAGGAGGCAGATCCTGGGCAGAAATTCATGATAAGTTAAGGAGATTAGGCTTTATCCTAAAAGCCACCAGGAGGAATGGATTGAACAATTTTAGTCTGATCAACTTCACCATGAAGGAAGATGGCTATTTTTGACTCCAGCATGGAAAACAGACAAGAGGATGTAATCATCCTGGTGAGAGAGGATGAGGTTTGAATAAAGGCATCTGTTATAGGAATAGAGGGAAGGAGAGTTAATTAAGAGATTTATGCGCTAGAATCAGTAAACTTGGTGACTGACTGGCTACAGAAGATATAGAGGGAAAAAAGTCAAGCTTAGGAGATTGGACAGAGGGTGGTACCACCAGATGAAAGAACAAAGAGGGAAGAAAGATTTAGAAGATTTCCCAAATAACATCATAATAAAGGTGGAGCAGGCTTCCTCAGATGGGAAATATTTGAGCACATCTAAAAGTAGAGAGAAGGGTAGCCATAACCATAGAACGAGAAGGATGAAGATATGAAAGAGCGAGGGAATGACTCACAGGGCAAGTTTCCAGCACAGGGCAGAGACGTTGGGGTCAAAGGCACTGAAGATGGCTGGGCTTTGAAGGGGAAGGTACCCATCATCCTCTGGGGTTGCCACAAAGGAGGTGGGCATGGGTGTGGATTCAGACACATTTATAGACAAAGGTGGTAAAGCGAGATCTCAGTAATGCCCTAAATTTCTCGATGAAGAAGGAAGGGAAGGCTCTAGCTGTTGAGGATGAAGGGGATGAAGGTTGTGCTAGCTGTCATTCACTTGTACACATTCTCCAATGGACGAAGAGGGAGGTATCCATGCCTAAGTCTGGCACGTTGATGCTGTAAGAATGTTATTTTACTCCACTTAAATTTCATGACAAGTTCTAGTCTTTATTTTATTCCTCCCCCAGTCATGCATTATGCCAGTCATGATCATAAGAATACAAGCTAATGTGAAAAAAGCTTTGTAAAATACAAAGCACTGTTCATATGTTCAGAATGTATTATTCACACAATTCCACTAGAATGTGAATTTATTATAATTAAGTTACTGATCCTTCAATACCTTCTGCAGAGCCTCTTCTGTTTTTTCAGGGTTTGTTTTTAAGGCTTGAGAAGCATCATACATAGGAATTGGCATAAATCTCAACGTGTAGTTCCTAGAAAAAGGAGAAAATGGTACGTTTATTTGAAAATAACATCCTATTATCTTAATTCAGCACTCTTTTAAAATCTGAAGAGTTGCCAGACTGTCTTAGAAAATTCTAAACTACCGGACCATCTTAGGCCCCTCGACTGCAGGTCAGCCTTCTTTCCTACCACCTTTGCGACACCATAAGTGACCTCGTCAATTCACGCTGTCTACAAAACCTACACAACTTGAAGGAATCTGGTTTTGTTGTTTTGCTTTCAGTTTTCAATTACAGTAAGGACAGGATTTTCAAATTGGAACTGGAGAGATGGTCTGAGAGAAAGGCTGGGAAAAAAGTCCAGCATCAACTTGCTACTTGGATTTTAGTCACCAACAGATCTGAAGGTAACTTGATTACCACAGTGACAACGTGACAGACAGACCCAGAACGGTAGAGGAAAACCCCAAAATAGAACCAAAACATTTGCTCGCCAAGCCAAGGATGTGAGCATCCACAGCAACAATCTGTTCAGGCTCTGGGCTCCTTTAAATAACCAAGTCCAAGACCAGTGACTGTCTTTAGAAAACCTTCCTGATGGCTCAACAACCTGACCTCTGCAGGGCCTGGCAGTTGGCACCCCAAATCAGCCCGAGTGCCCCAGGCTCTAGACACCAAGTAAAGCAACTGTGGAACTCTGGGTCTATGTAATACCTCACACGGCTGTTACCTGGCTGGTTAGACACAAGAACGCAAGGGTGAGTCATTTTTGCGTGAGAACTCTAAATCCGCACTCTGGCCTGTGTTCCTGAACTTGCTACAAAGTGCTATGTGTCTGGATGAACACTCACACCTGCTCCCCTACCACAAACTCTAGACCTGGAGATGCCTCCTCTCTCCCAACCAAAATGCATCTGTTTCTACAACAAGACACTCAGGAAGGATGACCTTGTGGGCCACGTGTTGGCAACCGGTACCTAGGCATCCCACAGCTGGCTTGTTTCAGGTCTCTCAACAACAAGCAGGATTCATGGTATAACTCTTATGGATAGTCAGATGGCTTCTACTGGAAGAATAAATTAACAACTAATTCCTAAAATAGGTACTAATAATGAAGAAATAATAAAGAAAATAAACAGTCATCTTAATAAAAGCAGCCAATCTGGATGGTTACCTAATGGGGGGGGAAACTGTTCTTCATCCAGTCCAACTGACAAGATGGCTTAAAGTAAAATAATCAGCAAAGACATGGCTGTTATTTCTATAACTTTAATTTTTACCTTAGCTTTGTTTGAGCAAAATTGCTTTTGTTTGACTTAAGAGGAACCAGCCAACTGAAATTAACAGATAATACGTCTCTTTTCGCAGCCTTGAAGATTTTCTTTTCCCTCATCCACTTTTCATCATGCTTCAGACCAGCGTGGTTTATTTAAACCAAATGTGATTTCACACCATTGGCATCTTGTAGCAAAGAGTACATAACAGACTGTGATCAGGGAGTTCTACTTTCAATCTGGAAATGTGGAGTGTTGGGGCTGCATCCTCTTGGCTTCTCACAAAGACCTGCCTGGGCTGGCAGTCTGCAACATCATTAGAGTGGCAGCTGTGCTGTTAGCACCCAAATGCAGCAATCTGTAAATATATGTTTCCATTCAAAGGTTTTGTGTGCAATAGGTGTAATTACAGGAGGTTCTGCAGTCACAGAAGTCTCCTGGGAGAGGTGGCCATGATGACTGATGGTATAAGCTGCCTTATCCATGTTTAGTGATGGCCGGTGGTGGCAGCAACTCTGACTTCCTGGCTAAAGGAGAACCACGGGATTTAGAACTGAAGCCACTTAGAGATAATTTACTGTGATTTCTCACTTTATAAAAGAAAAATTCATCAATGAGGTGAAATGATCATAGGCTCAAGATCATAGGCTTATTGGTGACAGAGCTGGGGACTGAATGGAGGGCTCCTAATTCCAGGTCTAAGCTTTTATCCAGGTCACCATGTTGGGCATGACAGCTCCACCTGAGGGGCCGTACATGGAGGAAAACACAAAATAATGAGCACCTCCTCCCCCTCCTAAAAGGCCCAACTTCTATGCTACCGGCCCCTAATTTCCCTCCTACATTTTGTAACCTCTCGTTTTTAATGCTATAAATCGCTTTGATCATTTCTACCATTAGAATACAATAGGAGGACTGAAAAGCTCAGAAAGAACCAGATTTCTAGCATTTTTTTCAGCCACGTTTGTATTCTTCTTTCCTCATTTAGTTTACTGGGAAAGTAAATTTGACAATAAATAATAGTTGCAGACTTTAGTTACGAAGGTAATTTAAAGAAAGCCTTTTACAGGAATGAGACCAGTGAGCCCTGGCCTTGCCATTTCCTCAATTTCATTTTTATTTTCTGGACCTCAGCTTTCTTCACACCACTGGATTCAGAGTTGTCATCCTGGGCAAAAAAACTGAGATCCAGTGGAAGGAGATTAAAAACCACGAGGAGAAAGAAGCAAGGTGACCGCTGTGTAGCACCCTCCACCCCACCCCCCAGCAACCATGATCTTGTGTGTTCTGTGGAATAAGCATCTCTGCTCTCATTTTATAGATGAAGAAACTCACACCAGAGGAAAGTCAACATCTTCCCAGGTCCCATGGCTGGTTAGCAGGAAACTAATCAGACCCAGATCTTCTGATTCCCACTCTACTGCTACTTGTATTACCCCACAGAGACACAAACACCATTGGTTCTTTTCTATTTTTCTAGAAAGAAGTCCTAAGTAAAACTTACTTTTCCATAGCAACAGCTATATCTTGAAAGCCTTGGGCAGTAATGTTGTTCTTGTCCCATATAACAGTCCTGTTTGGAAACCAAATCACATAAATGATCAGATACTTAAGAATGGAGGAAATGATTCTCCCATTGCAGATAAATCTCTTAGAGGAAACACTGTCTAGGTATTTTAGTACAATGAGCAAGGACTAATGTTCAGCTTTGTTTCAAACAAAGCAAGGATGAGCATTTCCCCCAACATTGGATTCCAAAGCCATTCTCTGCTCAAGTACTATGAAAAAAACCATACTTAAAAGCAACAGCACACACGTTAACTTACCACTAAGTCACCTAATGCTTTGCTAGCCAGAAAGCCCTATTTCCCCGATATTCTCCCAACATATTCTCCAAACAGCATTCTAGTATTCAAGTCTGAGGCTGAAGTTATTTATACAAGAGGCTAAACAGTCTCATGTCCAACAGAAAGAATTCCAGATACTGAGACGTTTTTCTATTCTAAACAACTAGAGGGACAAAGTGGTCATGTTTTCTGACATTTCATCATTGCCCTGACGTGATATGATCAGCAATCCCAGCAACTGAGTTCACTCTGCTGATAAACCTCAGTTACTCTAGGAGGTGGTTTACTTTTTAAATACAAAATCTATTTTGGAAGAAAAGTATGACTTTCCTTTCAGAATGTGAATACTTCAGAAGTATTTTAGGATTTGTCAATTCACCTGACACATGAAATGGCTTTTATTTGTCTGAACGCTCCCAGGCTCACAACCTCTAATTGCTTTCTCTTCCTAACCTCAACGACCTTCTTCACGTACACACTGACCTTCAAAGAAACTGCGGCAGATTTTCGCTTTTGCCTTCAGTTTAGGCAGAAGGTGCGGGCTCTGCCTTGCACTGGGAAGCAAGGGAAACAGCCAGAAAAAGCCCTTGAGGAGCAGTGTGAATTATTAACTCTTCCTTCACCAGACTGCTGGGCTAGGTAGCAACTGGGTCTCTCTGAACGATGGATGGTAAACATGGTTACCAGATAACTAGTCCCTAAGAGAAGTGGTTACTGCATAGCTCATCCTTAAGAAAAGCCATGCTTGGGAAGCACTACGGATGAAAACCACTGAACAGAAGAGTTAGCATCCAGTACAAACTTGCCTCTGACACAGTGGACTTCATGGATCCCCTGGGTTTTAGGTCTTTATGTCGCAAGAGTGGGAAGGGAAGATAAGACGCTGGGCTCACAACCAAGTACAGGGAAGTCCCTCGTGTCATTCCTCCAGTCTTCCCAGCTCTGCCCCCAAACCCCTCCTCTGCTGCCCCCTGCCTTTCCGGACACATCAGTCAGCTGCCAACGCTGCTGTGAAATGGGAAACCGCAATGGTTCTCAGCCGGGTTTGCCTCATAGTGGAAATCTTTAAGACAGCAGTTTGAAGGAATGACTGTGTCTAAATTTGGGAACACCCTCCTCCATATTTTGAAAAAAGACTTGAAGCTGTCGCTTCTGCTCCCCAGCTGGTCGCCTGGGAAACTCAGGCCTCACACGAACACAGCCGGCCCCCCAGTGGTTGCTGGGTCAGACCCTCTTCCAGACCTTCCTTTGAACCAGCATCCACTCCTCGGGGCCGAGGGCCCGGCCTGCGTACCTGAGCTTGGTGTTGATCTGCAGCGCTTTGGCCAGCATCTTTGCCCCCATGTCCCCCATGCCATTCCCACTGATGTCCACTGTGGTCAGGGAGGTGTTGCTTCCCAGGGCATTGATGATGATGGTGACCTCGTTCTTGAGTTTCGAGTCAGCCAGGGACAAGGACTGCAGAGGCTGTGGAGGGAACACCAGGCAGCGCTCACACAGTGTTGTCAGAGCTGCTGCCGCTCGCTGGGACCCACTTCACGGAGAACCATCAGGGGAGGGACCCACCGCACAAACACAAAGTGCCTCATTTGGTAACTTCTGGCCAAAAGACACTGATGAATGCGACCTGAAGGTTCTGGACCCTTGGAGTCAAACATGAAGAGCTTGTGTCTTAATGCTGAATATCAGCCACCTCTCTTCTAAGGGAAGCTGTGGAAAGATACCCAGAGTGGCAGATGCCAGCTCTTCTGAAGTGGAGGATGGGAGGAAAGAAATAAAAATACTACACAGAAACGTCTGCACTTCAGTATGGCAACACTATCCCTTGACCCATTTTATTTCTATGCAAGGTAAAAGAACGTCTTAAAATACTAGTAGAGGAATACTAGTACTAAATTACTTCAAGTAGTAAATGCAAAATAAAACCCAGCCAAGATAATAACTGACATTTATTGAACACTTAACCACTATTTAAGCTTTTTACATATATTTACTCATTTAATCCTCCCAGTAACCCAATACTTAGGTATTATTATATTAGGTATTGTTATCCCTACTTCTCAAGTAAGAAACAAAAAGGTTAAGTGATTCAACCAAGGTCACACAGAAAGTAGCTGAACAGGAACCGGACAGACTGGTTACAGATTTTGTGTTTTCAACTCCTACACAACGTTGCCCTTACTGGCTTATCCTAGATCTTTTTGATTCTCACTCTTAGCTTTGTCTTATAAGATCCAATCAAAAGACACACTTACAATTAAAAAAAAAAAAAAGTCAAATGTGTGTGACCTTTTCATTACTGTAAGCTGTGTGGTGAACCCAAGCCAATCCACTCACTGTCTATTTAAACCAGAGACTGAAAGCCCTCTGCCTGGAGGCATGTTTTGTTTGGCCTACAGAGTATCTGACAAAGAAGGAAAAGAAGAATGGGCTCCCTACTTACACCCAGCTCACACTTGTTTATGTCACCTTCCTAGCCCTGTGGGTGTTTAAATTGCAATCCCTGATTACAGCCATAACTGAATTAATGAGGTGGTGTGAATTCCAGGACTTAAGCCAAGGTTGCTCTAAAAGTCAGAACTAAGACTTCTCCGGGGGATTTGGATGTCTTCTGGGTTGCCTGCGGTGGTCTACACTGGCCCAGCCGTATTCAACAATTGTACATGCTAACTCCATGAGCAGTTCGGACATTACAGGAGATGGATGCTGGAACCAGCTTCTAGGATCATCTATGACCAGGTTCCACGGTGGCCCGTGGGACTGGGGTTCTTGAGATGTGCCTAGGTGGTCTGTAGGACCCCCACACAAATTGTGGGGTGTATTCGTGTCCACTTAACCACTGAACATGGACTTCTAATAGAACACCTGTTCCAGGCGCATCTGCCAAAAGGCTCAGGAGGCAGAATGAGTGTTGACAGTTTCAAGACTCGTATGTCCACAAACTGGCATTATGCATTTGGTTCTACTTTTCCCGAGTGATTGTCCTTATTGTCCAAATTTGACCATGTTTTCTAAACGTAATACATCTATGGTAAAATCAAAAGGTAATATTATATAAATTAGAATCAAATTTCTTAAGGTTAAATGGCATAGTAAGTGCTAAGTCAATTAAAACCTCAGCCCAAAAGCCTGCATAATCTTAGACTCAGGCAGGTTTAGGGAGGGAGCTTCAATTTTCTTAAGAGTCTACGTTCCAGTAGATAGAAAAAAAAAAACTAAACGAAAAATGCTTCAGACTCAGGAAACTTCATGTTTTAAATGAAAACATAAGCAATGCTGCTTTAATAAAAAGCTGTAATCGCATCTCCCATCATTTCAATAAGCTCTATTCAATGCCTACAAAAATGACACATTACAGCTTCTTCCTCATACTGGAAAACTGGCAAGTCTCCAAGCTGGAGAGCACCAATTCCAGTACTATATTCAAACCCTAATACACCCCAGTTAACACTTAAAAGTAATAGGCAGAGCCATTAATGCGAACAGAACAGCCGGAATTGCATGCATATTTATAAGGTCATCCCTTCCTGATTTACTGCACTTCCAGGTAACATTACTATTTGAAATCTTACTATTCCTGTTCATAGCTGAACATGCCTAATCTGACAATCTGTCTCCTTGCTACAGGGACTCCCAGGACAAACACATACTGTTGCATTGTTCACAACACAGGTTTGTATGTAATACTTCAGAACAAGAGTCCCTGTCATCTTGGCCCCTCAGTGTTACCGTCCCTCGAATCTGGGAGCAGCAGCCTGACAACCACTGTCTAGAGCTGAAGGTGACACGGGAGCCCGTGCGTCTATGTTGTCCAAGTGAACATACTGTGCAATATCGGGAGAATAAGTATTCCACACGCTGTCTAAGAATAAGCTCTACAGACACAAGGTCAAAATGTAAAAAGCAAAGAGTTTACTTTTTATATGTAGAAACCTTTAAAAAAATAAAACCGAAAAATGAGCCCAATGGCGCCAGTTATGGGTGGAATTTTTATAGTCACAAGACTGAACTCCTAATCATTTTAAATAGTTTTGCACATTACTGATTCAGAAGTAGAAAAAAAATAAAAAGAATGTAATTACTTATTGAAAAAGCCACCTACTTTTCTGTGACATGAACATAAAAGGCTTTTCACTGTACATTATTAGCGGCAACTTTTCAAATTTATAACAGAGTTCACATTTTTGTAGCAGACTTTACCATCTGCGAATATGTTTTTAGGTGTACTTTAAATATCAAGATTATCTTTGAGTAAGAGACTTTGAAAATTATAGGAACAGAGTTTGAAGACCCTCGTGTAATAAGCAAAACATGAAATTAAGAAATATATTTTTCATAGCATATAAAATTTCCTGAAATATGTGCTAAGGAACAAATATTTGGGAATGATTATTAAATATGATTCTGCAGGGTTTCCCTGGTGGCGCAGTGGTTGAGAGTCCGCCTGCCAATGCAGGGGACGCGGGTTCGTGCCCCGGTCCGGGAAGATCCCACATGCCGCGGAGCGGCTGGACCCGTGAGCCATGGCTGCCGAGCCTGCGTGTCCGGAGCCTGTGCTCCGCAACGGGAGAGGCCACAACAGTGAGAGGCCTGCGTACCACAAAAAAAAAAAAAAAATATATATATATATATGATTCTGCAATACTGGCTTCCCCAAGCTTTTAAAACTGGGCCAGTACTAGGAAATCAAAATCTCAAATACAGCAGGGTGGTATAAAGTCAAATTAAATATGTAAAACAAATTGCATGAATTCTGAAAAGTGTAAATTACATTCTAATTATGCCTCTAACTTTAATAACCCAGTATAAGAGTACAAAATATGGGGTTTATTAGCAAATGAGGACAAAGAGAAGTGTCTGAATTCATTAAATAATAATGAGTTTCATTTCTAGTCCACAGGTTGGAAATTATATCAACACAATGAAGAGGCAGGACAACAGAATTTTCTCCTGCCCTCCAGGTCAGAGCTTCACAAAGAGATGTGGGCAAGGGTAAGCAAGGAAAAGTACCGGTCTCCATCTCTCCTGACCGCATGGCTTCCTCCAAAAATTGAGCTTACAGTTATAGTAGAATTTGCTATAACCCTGTGTGAATTCAAAATGGGAAATGATACTTTTTGCTTTTAAAGATTTTTTTTTTTGATGTGGACCATTTTTAAAGTCTTTATTGAATATGTTACAATATTGCTTCTGTTTTATGTTTTGGTTTTTTGGCCGCGAGGCATGTGGGATCTTAGTTCCCCCACCAGGGACTGAACCTGCACCCCCTGCACTGGAAGGCAATGTCTTAACCACTGGACCGCCAGGGAAGTCCCGAAATGATACTTTTTTAAAATGTGACATATCTCACATGATTAATACAGGAAATCACTCTTACAACCTACAAAAGTAGCTATCACCAAACATGAATAATATGAATCTTCATTATACAAATTGATTTGGATTTTAGGAACCATAAAAGCTCTTTGGTGGCTGAATAGGACTAAGATAGGAAAGGGACAAAATCTTAAAGAGCATCAGTAAAATATAAGATGTGATGCACCAGGTTTCAATGAAAGGAATTAATGGTAGAGTGCTTCTCACTTTGTCCATAAAATATCTTCCTTTATCCTAATGCATTTCTAAGGGCAGCCAAATAGGATACTATGTGAAATTAAATTTCTTTACCCTGAACCGAGTCTTAGCCAGGAACAACTAAAGGGAATTAAAATAGAAGAAGGATTATTAGAGCTCAAGACACAATTTAAGATGGGGGACAACTTTCTTAGTCTCTTGTAATTCTGCATAATTACTAGATGAAATTCAAATTAGCGACATGATGTTTCTCAACATGATAGAAGGTTATAAAGTCAACTAGAGAGTAAAAATTCACACTTGCAGATTAGTGAATTAGCTGAAGCTAGGAAGTAGTAAGGCTTATTAAAAGATGGGCTTAGGAGTCAATGTATACGTCTTTTCATCTATTAGTTACAATCTTCCTTTAATTAGTGATAAGCTGAATAAAGTGAAGAGTAGGTAAATTTTAAGTACACTCTAAAACTGTACTAAAGCATAAATATTTATTGCACTTAAAAACAATAACAATAGAAAATGTATACAGAGATAAAATTATCTGAAAGCATATCTGCATTAACCCAGCAGACATAATTCGTAAGAACAGCAACAAACGGCAGATTTTAGGCAAGAGTGTTAAAAATAATACTCACTGATTCTTCATCTTGAATCATCTGTACTAAGTTGTCCAACACAGGTGTCAGATTTCTAAAGAGATTTTAAAGATGTGGACAGTGGAATCAAATCAAAAGCTTTCAGGAGGCTGGTTATTTTCATCATTGTCATATTAAAAAATGCAAAACTCTTACTTGGATTTCATATTATTAAAATTTTTGCCTAACGCCAGGTGTTGTATGGATCTGTTTTTACTGAGCCACACTATTAAGGTAGATAGGTCAGATTCTAAACCTGGAAAGAATCAGAGTAAATGGAGAATCAACACACATGTGGATAAATAAATTCTCAGGTGCAGCACAATTAAACAAAGGTGCAAGGCAGTGGATGACTTTCTTTACTGTCCTGAGAGTCCTGAGATGCTAATCCTTTTTCCCCCAACCCCCCACCAAAGGAACTCTTTGTCCTCTTATTTCACAGGGATAAACTCATTCTCCACAAAGACTTACCTAAATCTCTTATGCAATCAGTGGCTAAATAAAGTCAACAAGGAATGGGGAGGCATGACAGCAGAAAATCCCATCTCTCCCCATCCCTTTGTGAAAGAAGATTCTGACATACTGTTCACTGGGAGGTAACTGCAGTTAAAGTTGTCTATGCAAATTCATACTGCATTCTTGTCTATGCAAGTTCATACGCACATGTTAATGTAACCAGTAGAAATAAAGCTAATGAAACAAGTTTCTGAATAAATAAACAAGACCTCAATTTTATTACCACCAAGCATGCAAAAGGTTGGACTCAGATCTTTATCAATGTATTGATGACAAGTTTTTTTTTTTGGTCTGAATTGTTTTACTGCATAGACTTTTCATTCTTGGCCATGGAAAAATCTTAGTAAGACTTTGGCACAGAATTATTCCATAAATAAACTCTGTTAAATTAAAAGGTCCTCTAGTCAAGAAGTGAAATAACAATTTTATTAAGGTGTCATCTAGATTGGGCTAGAAGATTATTTTCCCTTTACCAACTTGCTTCAAATAACATTTCTATGTCTTTTCTTCTCTGATTTCTGACTTACCATTATCGGAGATGTCTAGGCTAGTGATGTTGTGGATTTCGGCGATGCAGCCTTCTAATACCTGCGCACCTCCAGATCTCAGCTAGAGAAACACAAACCAAACAGGTAAAGCGGTCACTGGAGGGCTAAAGCCAAAAAAATGAAAAATAGGAGATATAGTCTCAAACTTAGCACCAAAGAAAAAGTGAAAGCTTATCAACTCGAAAAGAGCTATCATCAATGTAAAAAGCTAATCACTAGTCATTATATGGTTTCCCATCTCACGTAAGTCTGAAAATCATTAGAAAAAGAATCAGAAGACAGAGGCCACTCCACATCACCATTGACAAGATGGTCTCCGTCAACACACAAGAATTTCCTTCATTTCTGACTTTTGGAAAGCTAACAAATCCCTTTTATACATTAGAAACTGCTACTATTTTATTTGACTATTACAGATTTCAAGGTATAACTCTCCACCATGTAGCAGCAAAACAACCAAAGGAGACAGTAAAGACCTATAAAACCCTTTTCATCTTCTCCCATAAAACCAAAAGCATATTTTACAGAGGTCAGAGTATTTTTGTTTTCCGTTCAGCAACTATCTGAGTTCCTACTATGGGTAAAACACTGTGCAGGATGCAGTTTCCCAAGCTGTGGCCCTTTGTTCAGGCCCACTTACGATCTAATAAGGGAAAAGAAATTCATTTATTGGGAACCTACTATGTGCCAAGGAACATGGTAGTTTCTCTATTAACTTAAGAAAATTTAAATTTATGTAAAAATTCTATACCAAATTGATAATACTTTCTACTTGTTCAAGTTTTGATGTAAAAATTTAAAGAATCCTTATTTCACTATTTTAGATGAAATATGTCTGCGGTACTCTGGACCAAACCCTGCCAATTTCCCTGGCTGCTTACATGTTAAGCAGAATTTTGCACAGATCTTTGGAATTGCTTTATTCAGGAGTATTTCAGCTGGAGTGTTTATATTCAGTCCTTTCTACTTTTTCAGGTAACAGCAGATCACGGTGAGGTGCCTGATGTGAACTCTGACGGGGAGTGTCACACAGAGGCAGACCTCCCCAGGAGGCTGGTCTACACACTTCAGGGGAACCAAGGCCAACCAACTCCACAGCTGCAGGGCTACGAATCCAGTGTGTGGAGCTATGGCCATTTTTATTATATTTTTGCCAAAGTACTGGTTTATGATTGGCTGTAAATTTAAAAACAACAACCAGGTTCTTCACAAACAGATTTGAGAAACACTGTTCCAGGTCACAGTTTGTTAATATTTGAAGAAATGAATGTTATATGTAGACTATGTCAACATTAAAGCAAGAAATAATTTAGGCAAACACTTCCAAGGAACATAATTTGATTTTCAGAACGTGAAAAAAATTATGCTTTTGAGAAGACAAACATAAGTTTTTACAATTTCATTATTTGCTGTTAGTGATTTCTCTATTGAGAGGTCAAATTTCTACAACAAAATCTCTACTTCTTATTATAATGTATAGTAAAAAAGAGTCCATTTGCAAAAATGGAAAATAAAGGTGAGATTTCAGTGCTCCATTCTGTTTATTTTACAAATACTCCTGACTGATACTTGTAGCATATACTAACATTTTCCAATACTAAAAAATGTCAACATATCCTAATTTATTGATTCATAAAGTACTTACACAATGGCCAAGCTAAGGAAAGCCCAAGGAGAAAAAACAAAAAATGTTAAGTAAGCGGAATAAGAACAGAGAAGTAGACGTCTATCAACACACGATGTAAAAAGGCAGAGTCAGAAAAAACACTTCAACTAAAATAAACTCCCAAAACAAAAATCCAAAACTTAAATAAGAAAATAACTGATCTTCAGTCACAAGAACATTCGATTGAACTCACAGGTTATTAGATGCCTAAAATTCCCCCAAAGCTTAAGGCTTTCCCAAAACAGTAAAAGCTTTTCCATTACTGTAAATGAAAATCCTTTTAAACAAATTTGCATAATTAGAGGCTGTGTCTGCATGTATGCATGTAAAACTGGTTTTAAATTACCCTCATTTGGACCCCACACACTAGCATTATTTAAAAAGAATGCAAGATCAAAGAGGAGTAAATGTGCCTGAATCACTCAATACTTTTTGAAATGTTAAAAATAAAATCACATTTCTTTCAAGAGAGAAGTGTGGTTCCTCATAGTTCTAAGTGAATAGTTCTATCTAATACAAAAACATCCATAATGGGTACAGAAACAAGGAAACTAAAATCTAGAGAACTTTTAATAATTCATTTTCCTTCCTCAAGAGCACTTGCCGTTTAAAAAGAGGTGGCAAATATTACAGGTTTAAATATAAAATAACCTCCCTATTTATCACTTGTCCTCTATAGGGGTTCCATTTTTAATGAAAAAATAATTTCCATCCTGGGAAATATTCTCACATGAAACTGTGAATACTGTAAGATAATCCAAGAACAGAAAATGGTTTGACGTGATCCAGTTCAACATATCCTCGCTAGCAGGGTTTGATGCCAAAAGGTAATTTAGAACCCAAGAAAGATATATAATACAATTGACCCTTGAACACCTCTGGGGTGAGGGGAGTTGCGGGGGGCCAACCCTCCACACAATCAGAAATCCAAGTATAACTTTACAGTTGGCCCTCAGTATCTGTGGTTCCTTCCCCACGTGCAGATTCAACCAACCACGATGTAGTACTATAGGAGGTATTTAGTGAAAAGAAATCCACGTGTAAGTGGACCCATGCAGTTCAAACCCGTGTTGTTCAAGGGTCAACTATATATATACTGTCATTTCCAAGAGAATGGAAATACTTGCATTTCCAAATAGTTGCATGCATTATATTGCTTATGTCTATCCTGTGGTGAAACATTTTCCATTTTGCATTCCACACCCAGCCTAATAGGAAAGTGATGGCAAGGGGTACAGCAATGATGATGCTCAACACACACAAGCAAACCCGCCTTCTCACCTCAAAGCTGGCTGAATGACTATCAAATTGAGTGGAATTGTCTGAAAAGTTACTAGTGACTTGCTGCAATGTCCTACTTGTTACAAATTTTAATATCTGATGCTCTTTTTTCTACTCATCATCAAAGCACATTGCAATGAATATGGCATAATGTGCAAGTAAATTTCTCCTTAAAAGAACCAACTCCCACATCCAGACTGCAACAAATCCTCAGTTATGGCTAGCCTTTACGTCTTCTCTGAAGTATCAGAGATTTTCCTCTCTCACCTGGAAGGAGATTAAGCTTGAAGAATTCAGTCCCAGCACTGACTTATTCTTCCCTTGAAGTATGACTGTGAAGTAATAAGATTTTTAAACACAAGCCAGGATGCATACACCCATTGCCTCCTTTCAGGCAGAGGGGTACATGGGGAGAATGCATATGAATGTCAACATCACTGTCACCATATATAGAAGAGTTTTGAAACTCTTGTTTTGGAACTAACCTTGAGGACAGGGGAACACACACATTTCTCTGAACATCTGTACAGATGCTAAGTCCTTACTCTTTGAGAGTGAGTTGGGATCAGCCACAGGCCATTCAGAGCCTGGCCATAGAGGGTAATGCTGTTTTGTGTCCAAAACCAGGTGTGCCTATAAATTGATGAGACTAATTATTCTTGAGAGATTTAAAACAACTTTGAAGGTGATTTTTTTTAAATGGTTTCATAGTTACCCTAGGCTTGGCATTGTGCCAAATGCTGTCTCAGCAAACTATTACAGTCGGCCCTCTGTGGAACTTCAGCCCTAGGTTGGTTGAATAAGCAGATGCAAAACCTGCAGATATGGAAGCCAACTGTATTTATTGTACTCCACTACACTACACGGGGGACTTGCGCATCTGTGCACTTTGATATCTGTCGGAGCTCCCTGAACCCATCCCCAGCAGATACTGAGGGATGACTGTATAATCCCCATTCCACAGGTGAAAAATGAGGGCTGAAACAAGGGAACCTCTTGGATTCCAAAGTGCCCACCCTTTGTTTGCTATGATACTCTCTTTCCTTCCATGACTACTTGGAGTCATTTTCTTATTCTTCTCAAAGAAAACTTTTCTGATACTAAAAGACCAAGAAAATGAAATGATAACATAATTAATATGAAACAGGTAAGTTTTTTCTCTAAGTAGAGAAGTTATCTGTAAATGAAAGGTTAATTTCAGTACTGACTAGCTGAGCCCTCACAGAGCAAAAGATTACAGCCCCAAATTTTGGATTGAAGTTTCTAAATATCAAGGATGTTTGTGTTGTAGGAAAGCAACTCCATAATTTATAAATACCTGCATGACACTTTTTTCTTTAATAGCATGAAGTGTAAATCTCTCTCATTCAAACTGATGAATGTGAAATGCCTCTTTCAGGGCAGTACTGAAGGATAACGCACCAAGAAAGGTAAACGTGAAGAGTAAAGGAATCAGTAAATGGTAAAAACAAAATAATTTGCTTAAGGAAAGTTATTCTAAGTTTCCTGTCTAGACACTTTTAATTCCTGTTTCAAGGTTACAGTCTCTCTCCTCCAAATAAACTCAACCATGATTTTAGATGATGGTCGTTTACTTTCTATGACACCCATATAAACCTAATTTTAAAGTTAATCAGTGGAGAGCAGCTGTTTTATAATAAAATAAGTAATCTATTTATAAATATGAAAAAAATTTTCAACGTATTTCACATTTGCTCTTTGCTTCCATGGTTTGGGTAGACTATTGTACTTAGAGGTACCTGTAGGGGGCACTGAACTCATACAGTGCCCACATCTGAAACTCCCCAGTATTATACAACAGACATTTGACCTTTTAGGTCTGTCAGTCCCTCACCTTGAGTAAGCCACCCCTGTAGAAATGACTTCCCGAGATGATTATGGCATCAGGGTGAAGCTTCTTTCCCCCCAACCCACCACAGGTGGGGGCATTTATCTGATCATCAGTTTCTTTTTATTCATCATTAAGTGATGAATTCTTCCATGGTTTTGACTGGCATGATAATAAGAGTAAAGAAGGCTGTGTCTACTGTGGCTAAATAGAGAATGAACAGAAGAAATTCACATATGCATAATTTTAAACTTCCAAGTTAGTGAACGCTTTTTTCCAAGAGCATTACATAAATTCTGAAGCAATGAATGATTTAAGGAGGAGTTAATACTCTAAGTGCCAAGCATTCTAAACAGAAAATACTCTAAGTGCCAAGCATTCTAAACAGAAAATACTGTAACTTCTAGTACCTTTATAGGAAAGAGGTTTACTGTATCATGGAGATGAGCAAAGTGAAACCTAGTTAAACTTGGACATCTAGCTTTAAGAAGAAAAATGTCATAAGACACCTTAATTTACAAAAATAATTTTGTGTTTCATTAATTTTTATGAGCAGCAATACAATGTGTGACTTAATAAACGTGGTCACCAGTACTGTGCTTCAAGCTGTAAGATGGTGGAACATGGCACTAAGGTAGTATTAACGGGTCCCCATCTCAGCAGTATCATTTTATCATATAATTCATAAATGAATGGCCAAAATGAAGTTGGAATTATCATCACAATAATGGTCAATCCTACCATCAGAATTTGATCTGGATTCCTGCTTTATTAAGAAAAATTATAAAGGAAAAAGTCTACTAGCATTTGATGGATCCATATGAAACTGCCAATAGTCTGCCATTTTTTTCTTCCATTTGTGTAAAATATTTTTTAACATCTTTATTGGAGCATAATTGCTTTACAATGGTGTGTTAGTTTCTGCTTTATAGCAAAGTGAATCAGCTATACATATACATATATCCCCATATCTCCTCCCTCTTGCATCTCCCTCCCATCCTCCCTATCCCACCCCTCTAGGTGGTCACAAAGCACCGAGCTGATCTCCCTGTGCTCTGTGGCTGCTTCCCACTAGCTATCTATTTTACATTTGGTAGTGTATATATGTCCATGCCACTCTCTCATTTCGTCCCAGCTTACCCTTCCCCCTCCCCGTGTCCTCAAGTCCGTTCTCTACGTCTGAATCTTTATTCCTGTCCTGCCCCTAGATTCTTCAGAACCTTTTTTTTTTTAGATTCCATATATATGTGTTAGCATGTGGTATTTGTTTTTCTCTGACTTACTTCACTCTCTATGACAGACTCTAGGTCCACCCACCTCACTACAAATAACTCAATTTCGTTTATTTTTATGGCTGAGTAATATTCCATTGTATATGTCGATGGACACTCAGGTTGCTTCCATGTCCTGGCTATTGTAAATAGAGCTGCAATGAACATTGTGGTGCATGTCTCTTTTTGAATTATGGGTTTCTCAGGGTATATGCCCAGTAGTGGGATTGCTGGGTCATATGGTAGTTCTATTTTTAGTTTTTTAAGGAACCGCCATACTGTTCTCCATAGTTGTCTGCCATTTTTGACCCACAAAAATGTCAGTTTTATATGGTTCACCAAATATAACTGTCTCTGAAAGTTATTCTGAATAGGATCACAAAGGAGTTTAAAAAAGAAGCTCTGTGACAATCTAACACAGTGTTCTTTGGGCATATGGTACCTATCAACTTATTTGAGGAGAAAATGTCTAATTGTATGATATTCTAATAATTACTAGTATTAACAACAATCGGGAGAGCATACTTTGATTATGACTCTGCCATTAGTGAGCTGGATTACTTCAGCTTCTTTAGACCTCAGTTTCCTCATCAGTAAGCATGAGAATCAGATGATCACTTATGTCCATTCCAGTTTTGATTACAGAATTAAATGAATGATGTTATATTGGTCGCAATCATGATCCTTAATCAGGATAGTAAAGCATATGGGTTATTGCTAATTCAGTATTTTGATCTAACAGCAATCAAGGTTATACCAACTTGCTTTTTTAATAGAATAACCCTTTCTATCCTCATTCATCTTATGCCTTCCCTCATAAGGAATTTTTATTATTGGCATGCCCTTAATATTAAGTGCTGGTAAACAAATAATTAATTCCTATTACCAGAGCTAGTTTCTGTTTTACGGTCTGTCTTTATAAATGAAAGAGCATTAATTTGTACATGAAAATTTCACAATGCCAGGTTAGGTTTTTAGGATTTTCCCTTCCCCCCACTCCCCCCAACAAACAAAAAGACTAGTAAATCACACACAGTTGGCGTTCACCCCAGCTCAAAATTAATTTAAAAATCCTGCACTAACAATTTATATGGCTGATTTCAGACTTGTCAGTTTCTAGAATTTTCAGAGAGGTAAAGCATTAATCTTCAATATTTAGTGTTGGCTTACTGCTCAGCATTTTGTTAGTGGCTAAAGGAAACACAAAGCAAAGTAAGACACAAATACTGCCTTCCATAAAGCCACAACCCAGCTGGGAAAGCATACAGGAGCCAATTTAATAATTGTGCAAGGCACCACACGTGGTTCAGTGTCCAAATCCATGTCACTGTCATTAAGTACTAGACAATTAGAAAAAAATAAGACCACAAAGTGCTGAAGCAGTCAGGGAAGAAACGTACAGACAGATAAGCAACAATAGGGAACAACCTTTATAGGTACCAGACGATCTAAGCATCACATTTCAAAGAAGAGCTCTTTTAAACCTCATAACAACCTACTACGAGAGGCACTAATGTGGTTTCCTTTTTGCAAATGCAGAAATTGAGATGTAACGCTATCAAGTAATTTACCCAGGATTGCATAGCTAGTCATGGCCAAACTCAGATCAAACAGTAGGAATCTGATGCAGGTACAGAGGAGACAGCACCTGAACTAGATCCTCAAAGAGAGGGAGGCCTTGGGGAAAAAGAGGAACATGGCAGGAGTGGTCCAGAAAGAGAGAAGAGTGGGTATAAAGGCCCAAGAATAGGAATGAATAAACTTCCACCTCCAGCCCTGAGAAAAGGCACCAAGTTTGACATGGTGGGTAAAGTCAGGCTGGATAGTTTGTACCCGGGTATTTTCTTACTAATCTCCACACAAACTAAAAGTTTCAACATAGCGAAAAAGTTCAGGTACCCTCTAAAATGTAGAAGCTTTTAGTCTCAATTCTTCTGTGTGTACTTTGATAGAAACTGCTTGTAGTTACTATAATTTTGAGAAGCATCTTAATTTTCCTGCTTTAAAATGAAGATATTAAAAAGCAAAATTAATGACAAAGATCTTCCCTTTCACACTCTCCAAATCCAAGTTAAGCTATACACATCTTGGCCCCTGCAAGGAAGGCTGTATGGTACAATTTTCCTGATGGTAAAGCTAGTTTAAGGCTTGATATCTCCAAGTTTCATCATAAAAGACTTAAGCAACTGGCAGGAAGAAAAAGAAAAGTCATTAAAAGCACATTTGACTGCTTTCTGAATGGTGTTCCGTGGCTGTCTGTAGATAAAACTCGCAATATACAGAACATCAGAAATTTCTATAAAGTGTGTTATTCTGCTCCTTGTATACCGTCTGGAATCACAGTATCACACTGTTTCCAGGAAGAAGACAAAGCAATTTTCAGGCTATTATCTATTCTAGTGCATCATCTAAAGGTGTTCTTACCTCACAGTTGCTGAGATCAAGAGAAACTCTCTTCAAGTTATGATTACAAGCCAGGCCCAATAACAGCGCTCTGAGGGGAGGAAACACACACACTTTAGATAAAAATTCCACTTGTTGCTCTAAAAATGTGTAAGCACACTGAACAAAACCCAGAGAAAGAAGAAGGCCTTTTCTGAATCATGGGTCAAGCACCAAGCAGCGTCTCACTTTTTAAAATGCCAACTGCATTTCCGCCCACCAAGAGTAGTGACAAAAATGACAGGGAAACGCTCTTCTGTTTGACACAGAGCAGGTCCCTCATAAATGCAAAACCCGACAGGGTTGCTAATTCCTAAGGAAATAAACCAACAGTGCTCCCAACTGCACACTGAAATTAAATTGTGTTCATCACAGATAAACTGCCCCCTGCATCTGCTTGAGAACACCTTTAATAATGTTTAGAATATTATTAGGCAATTGTTATTAGAATAGCAAAGTAAAGCTAGTTTTCCCTAAGGGTTATGTTAATGGGGGAAGGCAGGCTCTAGAGTATTCCAGGATGTGAAATCATATCTAGATGAGTTTGTTAAAGGACTTGCAGAGGTGGGATGGGTAAGGGTGTACAGCATGGAAGATAAGGTACTAGTCTTGAGTTTGAGTGCAGGATCCTGCCTGTCTATCCAGCTACTAGCTGGTCACAGGATAAACACCATCACCGCTCTGCAAAGGATTTTTCTTATCTGCTTATGGAAGAGACTGGACTCATCACGTGGATCTCACATGTAAGAGAATAAACTAACTCCACTTTTACAAGTCAGTCCTATAAAATCCAACACCACTGAACAGGCTTGAAACAAAAATTTCATACATGCACCCACATCCATTAATTACACCGAAAGGAAAAGAGACTCTCAACTAGGCCCTGTGAGGAGTACGAAGATGAGTATGAGAGGGTTGCCAATCTCAAGCAGAGGAAACAAATATGTGTGCAAATAACCATAATGCAAGGCAGACAGTTGTAAATACTAGAGAGTAGAACCAAGGCAACTGTCACCTGGGGATGACTACCTGTTCTCAATGTTCCCAGGAAAGGCACCTCTACTAGCAGACTCCAAAAATACCCCAGGGGAAGGGGGAGGTGGGAAAGTAGGGAATTACTTCATGCCAAAGTCTCTGAGATTTTCCTCCATCCAGTGATTCTCTGGTCTCATCCACTGAGAGAGAATCCCCGAGGTGGGCAGAGCGCAAGAACTTGGCTGTTCCCAGCTGCGAAAACAACCCCTGTGGGTAAGAAGGTCGAGGGGACTGCGTGTCTCTTCGTTCCTTTAATCCAGTTCACTGTCCTCTCTTCTAAAACACTATCCTATGAAAAAGGTTGGGCATGTCTCATCTGTGTGCGTGCCTCTGTTCAATTAATTATTCAAGCGTTTCTCTTTTCCTAAGAAGTGCCTTTTCGCCCTTTCTTTCTTGGGGGCAGTATTGAGCTGCTGAAAGCTATCGGTACTAAGAACCAAAAGGCCTGTCCTCAAGTCCTGATTCTGTTACTGGGCATTGGGTAGCCTGAAGGACATCACTTTTCCTCCCTGTGTCTCAGGTTCTCATCAGCAAAATGGGAGAGTCAGGACATTACCAAAGAGGTCCCTACATTTCTAAGTTTTCAGTTTCTAGGACTTAGCCACATATTTTAACACTGTATTTGTATAATGCTTAGATGGAGGGAAAACTCCTCCTACTATTCTGACGAGTAGGTTAAGGACAAGGAAATAAATGGTGTCCTTTAAGATACTTAACTACAGAAGGCCAATGATTAAGAGGTAACGACTCATGAGACAAATATAAATAACCCACAGAAACTGTCCCTAGTAAAACAAAACAGAACTACAACAAAGCATCGCAGGCTCTGGGGGAAAACTCCATCACAAGGTGTGTTGTTTATTTTAACCCAGAGTGAACTGCCTTCACATCGCCATCCTCTCGGTCCTCAATCATTAGCGCCAAACTGACTAACAGAAGAATTTTTTTGTTTGTTTGTTTCTGCTTTATAACAAAGTGAATCAGTTATACATATACATATGTTCCCATATCTCATCCCTCTTGCGTCTCCCTCCCTCCCACCCTCCCTATCCCACCCCTCCAGGCGGTCACAAAGCACTGAGCTGATCTCCCTGTGCCATGTGGCTGCTTCCCACTAGCTATCTACCTTACGTTTGGTAGTGTATATATGTCCATGCCTCTCTCTCGCTTTGTCACAGCTCACCCTTCCCCCTCCCCATATCCTCAAGTCCATTCTCTAGTAGGTCTAACAGAAGAATTTGTATGTCATCTCCACGGCTCTGGCAGCGTCATCATGTTCTTAAAAAGCCCTGAAATACTTTAATGTGGACAGAAAAGAGCCTCCAAGGAAAAACACAACTATGAAATAAGCAATTACATCAAGAGAAGTTGCATTTCTTTAGCTTTCTCTCTTACGGCTACTGATCTCCCTTTAAGAAATGAGGGCCTCCCTCTTGGTGCTTGGGGATACAATGTGGGTTTAGGAACAGGATTGAGCCAGTGTCCGCTGGCTGACAGCAGAGGACTCTGCAATGTACCTCCCAGAGCCCCCTCAGCTGTCGGTCCTCTTTGGGGTCTGCCTCAGCCCAAGACAAGTGCCTCGCCCAAGGTCACATCTGCTTCTGGGGCAGCCTGTATCCAAGGACTGATCAACACAGGGGTATACAGGCCCAGCCTCGTCGCCCAGCTCAGGGACATTCTAGCAACAAAGCTCCCATCGGGTTGGCTGGGGTCTTCACTGTGATAGCCTCAGTTCAACTTGCCCTCTGTCCCATCCTGCTTTCTTCCTGCTCCCCCTCCACAGGTGGGATTGCAAGAGCACTTCCTAATAAACATCCTACATGCTAATCTCCATCTCTAACTTGGCTTCCCCGAAAGCCCAAGCTGCGATGGCAGTGAGTTTTCACAAATTACTTAGCTTCTCTGAGCTTCCATTTCCTCAGCTGTAAAATAGGGATAATGATACCTTCCCACGGCTTTTGTCAACACTGCACGTGACAGTTTGTGGGTAAGCAGCCAGTTGTGTGTCTAACTTAGGGCAGTGCTTGGCAAGTTCCTTTCCATCCTCACCCCCTCACAGGCAAACCCAAGCACCTCAGTTTTGTTATATCTTTTCAAATTATAGTATCACATTAAATGTACATCCAGAATTTTGTTTACAGAATCTTTGGCCATGAAGCCTTTTTCCTCATATTAAAATTTTTACTGAGCAAAACACAGACCTGAAGAGACTACGGGCATACCTCATCGTATTACATTTCACAGACATTGCGTGTTTTTACAAATTGAAGGTTTACGGCAATTCACATGAAGCAAGTCTATTGGTGCCACTTTTACAACAGCATTTGCTCACTTCATGTCTCTGTGTCACATTTTGGTAATTCTCACAATATTTCAAACCCTCCACCAGCAAAAAGATTACAACTCGCTGATGGCTCAGATGATGGTTAGCACTGTTGAGCAATAAAGTGTTTTTTATTTAAGATATGTACATTTTTTTGGACATAATGCTATTGCACACTTAATAAACTACACTATAGTGTAAACATAACTTTTAAATGCACTGGGAAACCCCCAAATTCGTGTGACTCGCTTTATTGCAATATTCACTTTATTGCAGTGATCTGGAACCAAACCCACAACATCTCCGAGGTCTGCCAGTACTGATTTATTATTAAACATTAACAGAAATAACAACAGGTCACAAGATTTAACACTGACCTATAATAAAGTACAGTAAATCCAGTGTTGTTGTGGTGAGGATTTTCTATAAAATCAATTGTACTAATCAATGAAGAGCTACTCTATGTTTTACAGGAACCAGCAACATTGAATTAGTATACCATGTGCCTATCACTAAAACTACTTTGAATATGCTAATCTCCCGCTGATGTGATGTGATAAAAGCAAGTCTGGTTTTGCTTTCTACTCAGTGCCTTCCTGGCATCTAGTCTGTTGTAAATGCTCAATAAATATCAGTTGAATGAATATGGTTAAATTATAATGGATCCCCTTTAGAATATTGATGCTGATAGCTTTATTAACATCCATACAAACAGCCTAATCATGTTTTTACAATTTGCAGCTGTTATATTTAGCGATTTCTATTACAAAGATTCAATTCTTCCTCTTTTTTTTTTAAAAACAGGCCGCTATAACATCAGGATTTTTTTTTTGCACAGGTGGATCAACTCTTCTTAAAGGCATCCATTGTTTTAGTCATATGGTACTTTGTAGAAAACTAATCAAGAATTTCACACCTCTCAAAAAGAAGAGAAAAGGCAATTTACAAATTAGATGATTAATTTTCTAGTAGAACGAATAGGAGACATTGATTTTAACATTTCGTACAAATTGCAAGGGAACAAATTGAATGCTGATTTACATGTCAGCTGAGGAAAGGAGAAATCTGTGCATACATGTGAACACACCTGACAACGTAGATATTCATAACCACTTGAAAATGTTCTTTTGACTCAGAATTAGATTCTATAGTCCTTTTGCTTATTTCTGGCAATGGTGAAAAGAAATTCAAGGATAACAATTATTCTAAAAAGTTCAACTTTACCATGACACCTACACTAAGGATATTAACCCATAAGTTGCCTGCCAAGTAAAAAATACCAAACAAATAGATACCTAGGTAATTCAGAAAACAAAGCACCTAAAAATTGTTTCTGTTGCACACATGTGTATAGCCTTTGATTATTACTGTTAGTAGAAATATTGAGAATAGATTTTAAAATGCGCACAAAGAATATACCTAAAATGGACTGAACAGAGTTCAAAAGAAAGGTGATGGTACCCAGAAACACAACTTTTATAGATCAGTGACTACTGCCAATGTCACAAACCAAAGGAAGATTTTTTTTTTCATAGAAGATGCAATAATATCAACAGTGTACAATGTACTCAGAAAGAATTTGACTTCCTTTGTGACCCAAAGTAAAAAGGCATTTTTATCTGCCTTGTCTGTCTTAGACGTACGTCTAAGGATTGTACGTCTTTTTCCCTTCCCTCAAGCACATTCCTAATAACAAATTGAACTTTAAAAAGCTCTGGAGAAAATGAATTCACCACTCACTTTAAGGGCTCAGGAGACAGTTTTGTGCCTGAAAGGTTGATTTGCATCAGAGCCAGAGAACTACTAAAAAACTGCTTGAAAGATGGGGGTACTTCTTTTCCTTTCCTGAAAAACAAAACATGAGAGTCTTACATGCAGTTAAACTTCCATCTCTGCACCCCACTTCCAAACTGGCACAATTATTCATCGGTAAATTCAAACACTGTGAAATAATCCATGAACTGGTTGTGTTTCAGTAGAAATTTAAAGGTAAAAAGAAACAAAATGTCTGAAAGTTAAATAAATTAATTCAGTGTACTTTTGAAAATTATGTAGGAGAGGTTAAGAAATGTCATTAAGTCTTTAAAACATTTTATTCCTATTCTTTGTAGCCAAAGAACTCATTGTGTTCCACCCCCTAGTTCTTCAGGAAACTCCATATTTGAATTTTTAAGAAATAAGTCAAAGAAGATACGTATTTCTCATCAATTTAAAGAGCCTTCCCACTGGGTGGCATCAGACTGTTAAGGATCACTACCTATGTTTGGCTATGTTTTCAGATGCAGCAGGTCTCAGACGCAACGGGATTGTGACCAGATGTCAAGTCTGATTGGCAAGAAGCCTGCATGACAAATATCCTACTCGGCTCTTATATCCACACCACAGATCTAATTATTTCAGGCCAAATATTAGAATAAAGACAAAACTCCAAAAAGAAATGCTTATAACCTCCAAATACGTCCCCTTGCTATTCCAGTGGGAAGTATATGAATCAAATCATACAACTCAATAAGAAGACAGAGTCAACACTATGAGGATTTAAGAAAAGATTCCAGAGTCAAAATTGGAATATGAATGCTTTGTCTGTTTTGTTCTATCTGACAGAATTGTTGGAAGGTCTGAGTAAGTACAGCACTTAGCCTGATGCATTGTAAACACTTATTCAATGAGAGTTATTCATATTCTGTGGAGGGAATCATAGACTCTCAGGGCAGAGGCCGTCCTAGGGGTCGAATTCAACCACAGAACATTCAACAATATTTTACGTACAGAGGTCTAGGAAACCTGTCAATATTTGAAAAAGGTTTTAAAACAGGACAATTTCAGGCTGAGAAGAAATACCTAAGCAACCAGAATATCTATTTAAGAGGATGAAAAATACACTTAAGAGGAAAGAGAATTTTGGTAGAATACATATTAGACGTTTCAAAACAACTCTGGTCCCCGACAGACGCTTGTATATCGTGTTCATTTTCTTTTTCTTTTTTTTTTAATTGAATAATTGAAGTAAAGGTGAATTACAATGTTGTGTTAATTACTGTTGTATAGCGAAGTGACTCAGTTATACATATATATACATTCTTTTTCTGATGAGCAGACTTTGGCAGACTTCAGAAATGGGGTCTTGGTAACATGAATAAATTGAGGGTGGCTAGCAGCCAAAATCTCAGGAAAAACAAAAAAATTAACCTGCCTTGTATTCCCTGAAGTACAATGGGATGTGAGTGGAAGTGATGTGTGTGATTTCCAGAGACAAGTTTTACCATGATCCTTTCTCCTCTACTATGTGACTGTCAACGTGCTAGAAAGAGGCTGCTCTGCCTCCCAGAGTGATGTGGCTAACCCATAAGGCACATGTCGCAAAATTGCTGTTGCTGAAAGCTGTGGAGAGGGTGGTGGGTTGGGGGGATCATTTGTTACTGGAACAATCTGACCTATCCCGACTGCTACACTTATGAAATTATCTGTGAACCAAAGTATGAATAGCCTGGCTAACAATCCACAACTCAGTGTAAATGCAGCAATTTCTACATAATTACTAAGGGCTTTCTATGGTTATATCTAGGTAAGGTAGTGGGTACTAAACAGTTTAATCACAGCCTCTCATTTGGAAGACAAGGAAATTTGTTAGCACAATTCCAGCTCTATAAGCTTAATAGCTCTACTTAGGACCAATCATCACAGAATTCACAGTAGTATCAATTCAAAAGAGCTGATTAGATGAAAATCCTTATCACCTATGATATCATTTCTAACCCAGTTCCTCAGTCTATTATAGCTCCACCAAAGCATGGCTTCATAAGCTGACTTCAAATACATGAGTGGTCTGGGTGGTCAAGTTAATACCCTCTAAGGCCTTTGAAATAAAGTATCTTAGAAAACTCTCAACTTCTCCCACCATTTTATCTCCTACATTTTACTCTCTCTGATCTTATCCTATTGAGGTATATGTGGCATATTTTTGCTATCACAGGCATTTACATACTGTAGAAGTAACGGACCAAGAATACTTTAAAATATAGAATAACTCACTATGAGGCATAATTGTAGAATAAATCATGCTGAATTGTGAATTTTCCAAACAAGTGACTGTTATCCCTTTGAATATGTAAAGTTTTCAAAAAGTTAACCAATAAAAAAGGAGGTATTTCTAATATTAAGCCATTCTCCATGTTATTAAAGAGCATATAATGACTAAAATATTGTTTACGACTTGTGGTAATAATTACAAATGGTAAGTGTTGAACTGTATTAATACACTAGATGGTTCCAGAATTCCACAGTTACATAACCCATGTACTTTTCATAACTTTTCTGCATTCTGCCATTCTAAGTCGCTGCTGTGTGTGATTACTTTTGCTTCTAATCTACTGCCTGATTTTGCAAACAATTCTAAGTCGGGAAGGTAGAAGTGAGGTACTTAGGCGGGCCCTCCACTTCTACAAATCAGAATGCATGAGCTCTGGGGTGACGATTCTCTTTATCTCCCAGACACAGCTGATACTTAATTCAAAGTGTATTATTGAGACACACCCACAAAGTTTCTAAAAGGGTCTTTACCATATTAAGAGAGAATGCCTGTCCACATATGAGAAATAGTACATTATTACATCGTTCATATAGGCAGTCTGGAGTTATTGATAATAACATTGTCCTGCAGGGAAAAAAGATATAATAAAAACTTGAACTTTCAAGGTCTAATATTCATAGAGAATGATTTAGGACCATCCCCTTTCATGCACAACATTCACCCTTTATCACTCTGTTTTCATCTCACTACAACTTTCTCTGAGAGAAAGACACTCCTAGATGAGAATGATAGCAGGAATAAATCCATACCGGTGAGAAAAGACAGTTCTGGAGAGATTGAGCACAGCTAAATACTGAAGGCAGCCACGGAGAAGAGCTCCACAGACCTGGGAAAGAAACAAGGCTCTCTTATTTTCAAATATTTCTAGGACTCGGAGAATATTTTATTGGGAAGAAAGCCCATTGTTTCCCATCTAAATATGGGACCCCCATGTTTGAGACCCCCCCGAGCAATATAAAAAGATATTACCATGTCCAGGGAACATTCTGTATTGGACAAATCCAGATGAGCAATGGCATTTGGCTGGGCCAAAAAACTGTACATGGACTTGAATAAAAAGCAAAAACCAAATATGTTAGGATCCAGAAACACACATGCACACACTCGCGCGTGCACACACGATGTTAAGTTAATATTTTAAAATCAAGTTGCCCAAATCCACTGAGGATCATCCTCTACTCTTCCCAAGAGAATGGCAGAATTTTCTGTCATTCCATTACCTTCCCTGAGAGCAAAATCCCAAAGAATATTTTAAAGTATGTTTAAGTTTAAAAAAGGCCAAATGGAGCCCCGGCTACCAAACCCCCATTTTGTTACACATGGCTCCGTTTTCCTGATTAGCTCCATTTTTATTACACAATTTGGAACAGTGCTAATTAATTTTAACTGCCGAGATTGAAATACCACCTGAATTGCAGCCACCCTATCAAAATGCTAATCACTTTTGAAAGTGTTTAAGGAGCCACTAATTTGAATTTGAACCACAGGATGGTGGTCTCGGGCTATACTCTCTTCAGTTCAAGGAAATAATTTTTCTATCCTTAGTTACTTCCAAAATCTAACAAGAAAGGGCCTGACAGCACTATTAGGCTTTTTTTTTCTTTCTTAATCTCACTTATAACTAAGACCCTCCAGTTTCTAGAGTGTCACAATGCCTAAACTATACCCTCATCCCCATGCAAGGCTATCCAAACAATAAAATGAACAACTCTGTTATTCTCTAATAGCCCTGTGTGAGTAGGTGGTACCAGCATCCACCAATAGCCACCAAATCCCAGCTCCTGCCACCAGGCAAATAGCTGAATTCTGCTTTGCTTCACTGGATGCCACGAGATACTTGCAAAAACAAACAAGCTTACACTGAGAGGTCCTAGTCCTTGGCAAAGCCTCGTAAGTGTAGCAGCTTAGCTATAGATGCTTGAGAAAACTCCTCTTGACCAAGGAATTCAGGATAGCAAAAGACTGGCCTGTAAATATTTTAGAATAACCAGACATACAATGTACTGTATTATGAAAAGTTCTGATTCAGAAAAATAATCTTGTTCTGACTTAATGAAGATCTGATTCTCTGTCTTTGCCTGGCACTGTGAGTTTACTCCTGGCCACCAGCTGGGGAAGCTCTAATCACCCTCAAGTGGTGACAAGACCCAACCTGGCCAACACTTCTCCAGCAGTCCCTGCTAGGCTGCTCTCCTGGAAAGCACAGGGCCAGGTAAGCCCCTCCCTGCACCTGCTGAATGGCTCTCAGAACCTCAGCCTGTCGGGGCTAGAAGCCCACTGTCACTCGGCTTCATCATTCCACTTGCCCTTCCCCAGAGGCAAGCTGGGACAGGACTCCTGGCTGGCTACTTTGCTGTCTTGGGTGACTGTCAATGCCCCTATGTTAGCAGCCTTCTTGTTTAATCTTCAGGCTCTTCTTTTACCTTTCTCTCTATTCTGCTAGTTTGTCACTGTAATGTTTTGGTGGTTTCACATCGGACTCCTTGTTTCATCTTGGGAGGGAGCAGATTTATGAATCATCAGTGAAAGTGACAACTACAATTGGACAACACACTGAAAAAGTCATGGCACACCAGGAAGCAAGTACTAATATTATGTTAATGAGTTCAAGTGTAAGGGAGAGGAAAATAACTACGAAGAGGGCTGTGGCAACATTCCCTGTCTTACAGGGAAAGGAAAACAGAAGAGAAATGAGAATACATGTCACAGTGTTTTTCACTCCCATAAAGCAATGGAATGTAAATTAAGGTCCTTTGAAGCGGTCCACGTGCTGTGGGTCCCACCCCATTGGTAAGGGAGCATTTCTTCTAAATTCTATCCTGTGACTAGAGGGGACTATTCACCCCATCTGGCAATGAGATCATACCTAATTCACTGTATCAATAAGATCTGCCAGACATTTACATTACTGATTCAGCTGCATGAAAAATCTTGTTATAGTTGAGGGGAAACTTTTTGCCTTCACACTCAAACGTTCAAGAGTGGCCCCAGCTGACTCCTAACCCTCCCCCTCTCTACTGTAATCATGGAATATGGGACTGAAGTTCATCCCAATATCCCCTTTCCATCACAAACTATGTTTTTAAAAAGCCACCAGTCTTCTTAACAATATTATTTAATGATGAAATAATTCATTTTATGTTTCCAATCTTTCTTATCAGGCAATTTTAACAGGTGCAATAATGTTTTGAAGTGGAGAAAAAAATTCCTTCAGAAAAAGTATTTCCAAAAAGAATTTAAACTTCAACAATCTTAAGTGAGGGGGGATAAAATCTCTAGAATAGGCTACATTTAGTAAAGGAAGGCTCTGGAACATTTCTCTAAAACTCTTCATAAGCTCATGACTAAATGATTTGAAGGTGTCATGATAAAGGGAGATGTGGGGAAATATGTTTCGAAATTATTCCAGGGTTAGTAAGTACAGCTTCTTTGAAGATGGCAGTAAGGAAAAGAAAACCTACCGAGAGGTCATCTCCGCGAAGGATGTTCCCTGAGAGGTCCAGATGGTTAAGAGTGGTGGCGGTCAACAGGTTGGCACTGAGTGACTGAGAAAGGCTATTCACCCCTGCAACATTGATGAGATCCAGGCTCAGTTTCCACTCCAGGAACCAAAAAATGAGGTTTGTGAGTTTCTTTAAATGGTCTAGCAGCCCCATCAACTTGCAGGACTGAGGTTAACCATAAGCCCTGTCCCCAAAAGGCAGCTCTAGGATGGTCTTTTGACAGGAAGAACAGGTTAGTCACAGACACGACCAACTCACCGAGTAGGAGAAAGAAACAGAATCAACTTCATTTTGCTCTACTTCTAATGATGTGGAGGGAAAGGATTTTACTTTGAAGTCTTAAAATGATGCAAGCAGTCTAACTGAGCATTTTCGTCCTTCTCTTAATCCTGCCAGGTGATTCTTGCCTTCATGTACAGTATTGAAAGCATGCAGATGCAAATTCATATACTTTAGGCTACTGAAAGTACTTGGAAGTTAATACAGGAACGCACTGCTCTACTTAACATATTACACTCAAGGCAAAATTTAGATTGAAATGGACTTTACAAAGAGCTAATGACATGTACACAATGGAAGAAGCATTCAAAAGGAAAAACTGATAATTAACACTCTACACACTGTTTATATACATAACATAAATGGTTCAAGTTAAAGTCAACTGAAATAAACTGATAATACCACCTCAAAAAACAAAGAATGAACACATGAGGAGGGTAAGATTATTCTGTGCAGAGAGAGGTATGGTCTACTATCTGTGGGTAACAGGAATTGAAACAGGCCTGTTAGTCAGGAACTTGTGGTGGGTAGATTTTCATCAGGTCACTTCAAAATGGGAGCCCAGAAGAGGCTGGTCCCTCCCTGGGATTCAAAGAGGTCAATACACACTATTATCACGATGATTACTCTTCAGGTAACTGGGATATGGATACTGCAAAGCTCTTCATGTTTCTACTGAAAGTGCATGGTTCTAAATCGTATATTTTGGAAATACGGCTATTTCTAAGGTGGGTATACTTTCATAAATCATTCTGTTTTTCTTGTTTTTCAGTAAAATTCTTCGTGAAAATCCCAGCCTATCTTAACCACCCGAAAGGGAAACAGGGAACGGGGTTTTTGCCTGCACATGGACAGAGCCTTCATCAGGATAAGGGGCGAGGGTCAGGCCAGAACTGGTCACGGCTGCAGGACCCAAGTAGGCACTCCAAGAAAAAAAAAAAAAAGCTGAGGGTTACAAGTACTCTGCTCCACGTTTAGAATGTTTGGTGCATGGCACTCATGGAGGGATTACTACCTCATCCTTCAGCTTTGGAGAGTTACAGGGAACCAACTCCAGTGTGTGTCCAATAAAGGCTACTGAGCCATTTCTTGATGGTGAGTGTCCATTTGGGTTTGTAGAGAGAAGACTCAGAGGCAGAGAGGGGAAAATGTTTTACTTAAGTACATGGAAGAATTTCTTGGCCATCAACTCAACATTTATTAAGCACTCATAACGTGTTTATCAAATGCTGGGGATTCGGGAGATACGTGTAAATAAGACCCATTCTTTGCCCTCAAAAAGTTCAAAGACCACCACGAAAGAAGCTAAATAAATTCCAGGATGAAAAGCCAGTGCTACACGAGGAGTATTTATTCAATACAACAAATCTTTATTTAAGGCCTACTGTATACCAGGCATGGGCTTCTGAGACCCAGGGGATACTCTTTTACCCTCTCAAAGCCAGTCCAGTGGGAGACCCAGACAGCTGAATAATCATAATCTAGCAACGTCAATACTATCAAAGAGGTAAGAGACAAGAGCTCTGCAGTGAAGGAGGCAGAGATTTGATTAACTGTGTTAGATAAAAGGAACTTGCAATGACCCATAGAAAAGGTTAACTTCTGGAGGCAACTTCTATGATTGCTTAAATGACCAGCTTCCTTCAGTTTGCCCTGTTATTGGTAATATCAATGTATTTTGAAATGGAATAATCGAGTCCAAAACCTGTGGAAAATATCAGACTCTCATCAAGAAAATCATTTTTAAAATTATGTCCCTAGTGGGGTGTAACAAAACTCAATAAATAAATTCCGAAATTAGATGGTGAAATTAGCCTTGACAGCAAAACGCTCCTTGCCAAGCGTGGGCGCTTGGCAGTTGGCCAACATTTGAATAGAACTGGGAGACAATCATGTTATCATGACCAGCTTCAAGCTACTGAAACAGAATGAAGGATTTCCTCCCCCACCTCTGGAGCCTACATCCACATGAGGCCTGTGTTAATAACACACTAATAGCAGGAAATCACAAAAATGTAGGATGGAAAAAAATCAGGGCTCTTCCAACCCAAACTACGCACAGATTTTCATGCTATCGTCGATTCTGGTTGTCTAGTGATTTTGACCATTCTTCATATTTATTATTGGAGTGTTTACAGCTGGAAAAAGGTGGTACCAGATGGCCCTGCATTGACATAATCTGGCAACCAGCAGGACATTTACTAGAAATCCAGAAAACTATCACTTAGCTAACATCTGAGGAAGAGAAAGGATATTTGGAGACAGTGTGGATGTCATGGACAGATTAAAAAAAAAAAAAATCTGTCTTGAATTATGAGCCATGAATATAAATGTTTTCATGGGACAAAAATATAAATGTGAGTCAAATTCAGCAAAAGCTTAAAACTACAATTTAATCTGAGTTATTCTGAACCTGCAAAACCTTTCAGATCCTTTGTGACAGTCTGCAAGAATACTGAAAACCTTTAAGAAATCGATTTTTTTTTAAAAAACAACATTTCAAGATATACATCTTAGGAAGGGCAACTTAAAATTCTTTGGGTCACATGTTATAAAACAATATTAATTCTCAAACACGTTTTATTGCAGAGAAGAGATAAAGGTGTTGATCTTTATTTGTGAAGGGTATAGGGCATGTGGGGCTGTCCCGATTCACAAGGAAGTTGAGGAACCCAGCTCTGCCTAGGGAATCTGCCCACTCTCATCACACTGGAAGGCACAGGGCATCAGTGAGTGGGTAGCACTCAGGTGCCTCAGAACCCAAACCTGCCCTCAGAAGCATCAATGATCATAGCATCCCTCTATCTGTCTTATAGTAATTAACAAATAAGTTAAATAAATATAATCAAGTTTAAAAACAAAAAACCTCTACCTAAAGAAAGAGTTAGACTTATGAAGCACATAATAAATGATTAACATTTTAATGTGTGGAGAATTCAAATGAATAAAGAAAAAAATTGACACTGTAAACAGAACAGTAACAGAGGAGGGGGACTAGCAATTTCCTCCAAAAGAAATACAAGTGACTAAGCAACAAGGCGGGAAAAGCTACTTAAGCAATAAGTGAAGAAATTAAAATTAAAATAGCAGAATACTTTTGTTCATATGCTTGATAAACAAGCAGAGAACAATATCTACTGATAGTGAGAGTGTAGAGAGGGTTCTATGAAACACCTGGAGGACAACTCGACAATAAATAACAGAAAAAGCTTTTAGAAATGTGTGCAAACACTTGGGCTTCCCTGGTGGCACAGTGGTTGAGAGTCCGCCTGCCGATGCAGGGGACGCGGGTTCGTGCCCCGGTCCGGGAAGATCCCACATGCCGCGGAGCGGCTGGGCCCGTGAGCCATGGCCGCTGAGCCTGCGCGTCCGGAGCCTGTGCTCCGCAACGGGAGAGGCCACAACAGCGAGAGGCCCGCATACAGCAAAACAAACAAACAAAAAAAAAATGTTTGCAAACTCTGATCTAGCAATTCTACTTACAGGAATTTATCCTAAAGAAGAAATTAACACATGACCATATATAGAAGTCATTTTAGTGTTCTTTGCACTACTGAAGAATTTTAAATGATCTAAATGTACAACAGATCATTTAAATAAATTAGGGAACATTTTGCATACGCTGAACTATGGCATAGCCTTTGAAAGTGGACCAAGTATTTACTGACATAAATGATCACAATTTACTACAGGGGGCAGGGGAGGAAGCTTATGAGATAGTAAGCACAGTATAATTGCATATATGCATGTGAGTGTTTTTTGTAGGTATGTATATAAATAAACTATGTACAGGCAGAAAACAGTGTGGCAGGATGGGTACCAAGTTGTCAACAGTGACAGTCTTGTAATGGCTTGGTACTGGCATTACAAGTAATTTTTGCTTTCTCGTTTATACTTTTCAGTATCTTCTAAATCTTCACCATAAATATGTAATGCATCGATAATCAGCAGAAAAAAAAGGTTTTTATGAAACTAATTTGCTGAGGTAGAAGAGTGATAACAAAAAGGGACTACACACACTTAGCTTTAAGATCTGCAGATGGCTTCAGGCATCAAGACAGAAAACACTGGCTCCTGGGGAAATGTTTCCCTTTGGAAAGTTGCTTTTATGCCTTCATCTTAAACATGTGGGTACAAATGTGTGCACATAAAATCATGGGACGTATGGAACCACCCCCAATTTCAAATCACTCAGTGAAACTGTATGGTCAGAATAAAGTATGACTAGATGGACAGAAAACCATTCTGGGACCACTTTGCTTCACCCACTCATCCACGACACATTTAGTGAGAACTTCCAGTGTGTTGGGTGCCAGGGACATGGCAATGAATGAGGCAAAGCCCTTACCATCCAGAACCTCCCAGGCTAGGACACAACCAAAATACAATGGGAGACGCACTAAAACTGAGGAATTTACAAATTCCTGTGCTATGGAACACAGAGAAGGGAACATCTAGTCCCACAGGGTGTGGTGAGAGGAGGCTGTCTGAGAGGCTTCAAAGGGAAAATGGGATAGAAACTGAATCTTCCAGGAGCAGCAGTCATTCACCAGATTTGTAGGTGTGACACTGCGGTTGTCCCAGGCGAAATAAAAGCATATAAAAACACACAACAGAGGGAGGGAAGGAAGGAAGGAAGGGAGGGAGGGAGGGAGGGAGGGA